GAGAGAAGAGACTGACAGAGGTAAAAATTATTTTTAAAAAATACATTTTTTGTTGTAATTGTAACAAGTATTTACACTAAATAATGTAATATAGTTTTAGAAACTTGTACAGAGTTAACTGAGAGTCTAGGATTATTTATATGTTCTGATGTTTTTGCTACAGATATGTAAAGTTTATTAGTAGCTTATTAATTGGCAGCTCTCAGGAGCAGTTATCAAAAAGCTTCAATATAAAACATTTCAGGAGACAACACTGAAGAAGATGTTCACTAAATTTCTAACACAACTACAGAGCTGCTAAACATGGTTTATGTAAATCTGTGTAGTCGGCCATGGAGGTGTTTTAGGTCGACTTTCATCGCCTAAACCTCCTGTGTGTGTGTGTGTGTGTGTGTGTGTGTGTGTGTGTCTTTTTTGTGCGTTTCTTTATTCTGTGGAGAGAGTCTCTAGTGTTGAATTATGATGTTTGTTCTCATCTGGCCAATGCTGCTCTTCTCTGTGAGAGGTGATAATACCACAGGTACAGTATACAGCTGGTTTTGGGGTTTTGTTTTTAAATAGAAATTAATAAATCACTTACCAATTTTATGACAATTCTAAAATTGAATTCTTCCATCTTACAGGTATCAATAGCTTCAACAAATACTTGTATGTCTTGTAGAGTGAATGCATTAGTTGTTAAAACTACAGTATAATATCCACCTACATGTTTGGCTTTATAGCTTCTTAAAAGAGTCGGTCCTCCAAATTTTCACACTTAAAGCTGCATGGAGTCTTACAGACATGTTAGTTTTTATGTGTTGTGATTTTGAGAGATCAAAACTGCAGCTCAGTGGAGGTGAATAGAATTTAGCGGCAGCACCAGGACTATTAAGAAACAAGATCAGTGGAACTGAAAATTACACACAGAGCAGGAAGAGTGTTTGGATGTGTTTGTGTGATGTGGGTGACCTAATCCTAAAGAGGTTTAATGTTTGACCTTCATCATCCTTTGGTGGAGATCTTATGTCTAATTTGAAGCCACTCATGTCCTCCTGGCTGATTAACTCATCCTTCTATGCTCTTTCTATATTTGCTCTTCCATTAGGTCTGAGTCAGAAGCCCCCAGAATGTCAGCAGGCCAGGCTATCCTGCACTGCTCCTGGTCTCTGTTCTGGGTCTGATCCTACCATCACCTGGATGTGGAGAGGAGCAGGAGAGAACACACACCTCACAGGTAACATCACTGCTGTCAAGACTGAGCATGTGACTGATGTCACACGGAGACACAGCTCAACTTTGACCTTTAACCCTTCAGCTGAACACCACGACACATCACCTCACCTGTACGGTCAGCTTCACAGGCAGCGGGACTACAAAGCAGACAGTGACTCTGAATGTGACCTGTGAGTTTAGCACATACTCTACAGCTGTTTGACAAAATATTCAGACACTTCACTTTGTGCTCACTTTACTGTGCAACGCACCAAACTCAGTCTGGAATCTAAGGTTTTGGTCACTTTGAAGTAATTATGTTTTCCCAAATTTTCTGAGAACTGTTGCATTTTTTGTCTTACCGAGATGCTTATGATTCATATATTGCACACGTTGCAGAATTTAGCATTTTGTGCCTAATATCTTGTCTCATAGTTAAAGAATGTAATCCCTCTGCAGATTGGAAATAGATGAGGGCGATGGTTAGAATTTAACCTGCAGCGTTGAAAAAGTTTCTTTCGGTCCCTCATCACATGGACTAAGCTTGGCTCTGACAACGACTGTAAAATATATTCTATGGTATAGATCTATGTGTTTAGAACAGAAATGAGCCAGTAGGACTTCTGTGCTATTTCTACTCTAATCTCTCATCTAGTTATTTATTTTACATTTCAGAACTGTTTGAAAATATGGGCTTCTAGTACATGATAATCTCATATCTTGAATGAAATTGTTTTCAAACAATTAAGGAAATTGGAAGGCACAGGAAGAGGACAACTGTTTCTGTAGGTGACTTGCAATAATTTGTCCAAATTTTTGTCTCCAAAGATGTGAAGAAACCTGGAAACACTGGAAACATAACTGTTCAGGAGGGTGATGCTCTAAATCTGACCTGCATTGTTAAAAGTGTTCCTCCGTTTAACATCACGTGGACTAAACCTGGCTCCAGTGAGACTCTGCAAGACATAACCTCATTCATGCTGCAGAATGGTCCTGGAAGAGCTACTCTTTTCATCCCTAATGTGACAGCAAAACATTCTGGACAGTACATCTGTACAGCAAAACACCTGAACATAACTCAGACTATACATGCTAACATAACTGTGAGATGTAAGTAGACTGTACTGATCTCCTCTGAAGGAAAAATGCTCTTATCAGCTGACTGTGTGTTTGCTGTGATTCTGCTTGTGTTTGCAGTTCCTCCAAAGATCCTAAATGGTTCTGAATGTGTGAGGCAGTCGGAGGTCCTGACCTGTGTGTGCATCAGTGAGGGGGTTCCCTTACCCACCATCAAATGGCCGCTGTTGGAGAACCACGCTGAATACTCCGTCCTTACAACTGTTATAAACCACACAGTCAACAGTCGAGTCAGTTTTTCTGTGACAGCTCATAGCAACACCACTGTAATGTGTGTCAGCAACAGTGAAACAGGGGAAGCAAACAGGAACCTCACTGTCACAAGGGGCCAAGGTAGTAAGTGTTCACTCTATTGACATGCTCATTTTCTAATCTTGAAATATATTTTTGTTATCAATGAGAACAACAACAACAACCAGCTGTGAAAGGAGCAGAAAGCAGAAAGGAGACAGGAGGATTTCAGCAGTGCTGGGAGGGTTACTTTTGAAATGTAATAGGTTACAGATTACTAGTTACCCTGTTAAAAATTTCTTAAGCAATGTAACTATTTTAAGTATTTCATCAAAGTTGTGTAACTTATTATTTTTAGTTACTGTTTAATTTCTTTTCTCTAAAAAAAAAAAAATTGGACAATAATTATAAATTAATTAATTGGACAATAAGCTGAAAATTCCTAACATAGATTTAAATCAGGTAGTGTAAACGTCACAACAGTACTTGATACATATTGATTACTGTCAAATATTTATTAAAGGTTCTTCAACATAACTTCATTTACATAATATATTGCTGTTGAAGCATGTAGCCTACTGAACAGGCACCAAGGAAAATGCTGTTGAATTTCCAGCACTGAAAAGCATTCTTGTCCAACAGTATGACCACCCAATGATATTGTTGGCTGGTCACAGCCAGGCTGCTTAGAACAATGTGCGTCGATTTGATCGACAAACGAAAGTCTATGCAAAGTCATTTACTTTTCTAACAACTATCTAAAATGGGCAATAAAGCTAAAAAGTCCTAAAAATATGTAACCTACTGGACAGGCACCGATCAAAATAGAGAACTAAATTACATCATGAACGCACAAAAAACATGGTGGGTTGGGAGGTCCTTTATTTTATGTGATTGATGCCGGTTACATAAACTTAGATGCAGATGTTTCTCAAGGTTTGACGTTGAGAATTTTCAGTGCTGGTAAACAAGCTTTACTCTGTGCAGTAATGTTAGTGCCCTTTCTTGATTTCATAAGGAAAATACTGTTGAATTTCCAGCACTGAAAGGTGTTCTTGTTCGACAACATGGCCAACTGCCTTGGTGTTGTTGGTTGGTTGCAGCCAGATGTGGTAGAATTAGATCAGATTGACAGACAAGAGGGGGTGCAAAGTCAAACAAGAGAACAATCAAAAACCACACTCAAAATTTAAATGCGTAGGAGACGACCTGCTCTACCTCCTGAGTCACAGCCGCCCCTGAGTGAGGTGACTGACAAAGTAAAACATTATGCACTTTAGCAACACAGTGAGTACACAGTATGAACACAATGTTTGGGCTATAATCACATTACAGTTCTTAATGCTCAATTCAGATCCAATCTTCTTGTGTTGATATTTCACATTCATGTCTGTAAGTGACATGTCTGAGTCTGATGTGAGCAGCACTGAGGTTCACTGAGGATGCCATGCATGTGCAGATTTAACATGTGCCTACAAGAATAACAACGCAATTTGTGCAACAACCCATTCATGACATTTCCTCAAAAACACTTTGGTTATGATGCTGTATGTTCCTTCCAACTTGGCTTCTTGTAATGACCTTATTTTGCAGGTCACTCTGAACCAAGTGCAGCTCTTTTGCCCGTTGCCGTTGTATCTGTCATTGTGAACGTCATCTTCATAATCTGCATTGTGTTTCTTTGGTGAGTTCCTGCATCGTCACTTTAATGTTCTGTACTGGAGACTTTTATACAACAAATCATAAGCCATTCTTTCTTCTGTTTTCTAAAGGAACTCAAGGAAAAAGCTGAAACCAGATCAAGAGGACAGAACGTACATGTCAATGCAGAAAAAGGACAGATCACCAGAGTATGATGTTATTGCCCACAGATCATCTGATGTTATAGCCCAGCGTCCAAACTAACAAGTCAGGCTCTACTCCACCATCATGATACCATCTTTCTTTTGAAGATATACCTGTTAAATAATTTCAATATGAGAGAGGTTTTATAAACATAGTATTTAAATGCTACTGTAATTTATATCTTTCATCGTACAGTATGTTTTTTTTCCAAGCTTAACATTTCACAGATTTTTACTGAACCAGGAAAATTCAACACATCACACAACACCATGCTCCCATTGACACACCACACATCTTCATACCTGACAGATTTCCAGTCACAGTAACCTATTGAAATTGGGATTTAAGCTCTGTATTGATTTTATATCCAATCTGCAGATCTAAAATCATCAGAGTCAAATTATTCTAAATTATTCTTCCTGTCCGGACATAGCCAGAGGGTGAGAATGGGCCTACACACATCCACGGCTCTTAGCCTCAGCACTGGTTCACCACAAGGCTGTGTGCTGAGCGCCCTGCTCTACACCCTGTACACCCACAACTGCACCCCCGCCCACCATGGCAACACCACTGTAAAATTTACTGATGACATCATGGTGTTAGGGCTTATCTCTGGGGAGGATGAGACTGCCGACAAGGATGAGGTGGAGAAGCTGATAGTGTGGTGCAGAAAGAACAATCTGCTCCTTAATACGCCAAAGACTAAAGAAGTCATTGTCGACTTCAGGAGGAAGAAAACCAGTGTACATCACCGGGGACCGTGTGGAGAGGGTGCCGGCCTTCCGCTTTCTGAGATTCCACATTGAGGAGGATCTGACCTGGGGCACGAATACTTCTGGACTGCTTAAAAAGGCCCAGCAGAGACTGTACTTCCTACGAGTGCTCAGGAAGAACAACATCTCCCAGAGACTGCTGGTGTCCTTCTATCGGTGCTCCATTGAGAGCATCCTTACATACTGTATATGTGTATGGTACAGCAGCAGCACAGTGGCTCAGAGGAAAACGCTCCAGAGGGTCATTAATACGGCCCAGGAGATCGTCGGCTGCCCTCTCCTCACTCTGGAAGAACTACACAGTTCCCGCTGCCTCAAAAAAGCTCAGAACATCATTAAGGACACTTCACACCCTGGATGTTCACTCTTTGAACTGCTGCCGTCAGGTAGATGGTTCAGAGTAAATCAAGGACCACTATTCAGGAATGCTTTTTACCCAACAGCAGTTACCATAGTCAATGCTGCTAAAGTATAATATGCCTGTGTGTGAGAGGTCTGTTGTTTATTTTGTTTTTTTAACGGTTATGTTTTTTTTATATGGTCTTATTTCATATGTTGTTGTTATTTCATATTACATGGTGTCACATAGTAATAAAAATAGGTAATCTGTAAAAATATGTTTATGTAGTTCCTCTGAATAGATACTAGCACAATGTACTAGGTTTTCAGTTGGTACATTAATAACTCTACTTAGAATTTTGATCCAAACATAAAAATTGATTATGGAGTGGCTGTCGTGTTCCTGTCTGACCCTACCCATATCCAATGAAAATATAAACACTGCTTGAGGTTTTATGACGGAGATATTCACTCAGTAATCGACTACCATGAACCTGCGAACAGAGTTCCCTGCAGACCTCCCTCTTTCATGTTATTAATTCAAGATAAAACCCAAAACCTCCCAAATAATAACAACCTGTAGTTATAGTGGCAGCTACCTCCAGAAGTTTATATAGACCAGTATACTCTGGCTCTTTGAGCAACTGTTACATTTTGTCTGAAATAGCCAATAAAAGCCGCGAGACTGGCCACTTAAGACCATATTTGTTTTGCACAGTATTTAGTTAACAAGATATTATTAAGGATAGGAAATTCAAATGGCAGTTTGTATAATGTGATAGGTAAACAGCTGGATGTTTTGTATAAAATATTTTCTGATATAACTGTCTAAAAATAATTTTAGCAGTTCTATATCGGTCTACTGTGAACCCTGTGAACTGTTGTGTAACCTCAAACACTCACTGGGAATTAGGTAATCAAACACTCAGAATCGTGTGCCTATATATGCGCCCTTAAGCATTACCACCTAAAAGTGTAAACCCACTAAAATCATGGGAATGTCAATAACCTCAAAACTTCACTCAATAACCACAGAGTATTAAACCTTTTCAGAAATTTTATATAGAAGCTTAAAAGAGTTACAGCAAAGTAGCAAGCAATAACATATAAACCTTAAAATCATCAATAATTGTCTTGATTGGCTTACAACCTAAATAAACCAACAGCTGCTATCTCTAAACATCACTCTAAAATATTATACTGATTAAAATTATTATGGTTGAGCTAAGCTCTTGATCTGAATAAAAGTCAAAGGTATTTTCACTGAATCCTGTTTTCAGCTGGTTTGAGGTGGGGTGGTGGCAGGCTGAGCAATCGTTTGTTCCTCTTTTCCCTTTAGGCCAGGACTCAAGCTTTCAAAAGGGGAAAAATAATAAACAAAAAAAAAAAAAAATCAAAACTCATCAGGAAACCTCATTTTCTTCTGGCCCAATCTTCTAAACTCCCAAAGAGAAAAATTGGAAAAATTCAGATGCGCAATGTTCTTCTTGGTCAAATCTTTTGTAACTCAGGAAAACATAAAAACATGAAAATGTCTAAAAACAACAATCTTCTTTTGGTCCAAATCTTCTTTCTTCTGAGAAACAATCAGAGCTTTTTCTTGCTCATCTGTCATCTGCTGCCATTCTTCTACATTATTTGGTAGCACTCCCCACCCTGGTAGCCATTCCCGCTCCTCTTCTGTAACGTCTCTCCACAAAGAGACGATTTGTTCAGTAGTCTCCTGCAGCTCATCCTGTAAGGTTATATCTGAGGCCAGGTTATCAAAGGTTGGTGCTATTTCAGTGGTCTGTGTTTTTTGGACTTTTCGGTTCTTCCTGGGACCTGTCTTTACACGTTTTCTGACACTATTAAAACTTAAAAAAACAAGTACATAATAAAGCACATGAAATATGTTCAGTGCATGTGCTGACTGTCAGTTTGTCAATCAGAAATTAGAGCACTTCCTGTTTGGAAATCATGGAGATCATCTTAAAAAAAAAAATAAATAAAACTAGTGAAACAAGTTTGACATGGGGTAGGACTGGATAAGTCTGACTTCTTCCTACTCCATTCAAGCATGTACTAGGTATAAGCACATTGATATTGGATTGTGTGTAAAAATGTGTGTTGTTGTTATATCAACTGTTTTTTTTATATGCTTGAAAGAATAAATCAAATCAAATCAAATCAAGTTTCATTTCAGTAATGAATATGCAAATCTGTAAATAGATCTGCAATATTCATATTGTGATATTATGAGATTGACTGTATCAAAGCCTGTCAGTCTCAGGAGAGGAGAAATGTTGCTCACCAATGTGTAGGAAAACTTGCTGAAACCTTATGGTATTTTTATGGTAAAGTACTTTACCATAAAAATACCAACACAATCACATCCTTGGGTCAAGTGTGTTAATTTCAAGTCAGGCTCTACTCCACTATTATGATACTGTTAGGTGCCGTTTGCACCAGTCAGTGTGCGAACGAGAAAAGAGGTGGACCCAGGTAGCCGACTTCGGTGCAAGCAGTGATTTATTATATACAGTGATCAAGGGAGTGACAATACACAGAGGGAAATAGTACGTAGTCCTGTAGATGAGTAATAACTGGGTGTTTGACCAACCGCAGGAGCCGATGAGATGGAGAGCTGGGCCGAGCTGCGTAGGTGGGGTCACTCCTGGGCTGGTCGGTGGTGATGGTGGCTACTGAAGGTAGAGACAGAGAGATGAAGGCAATAGTGGAACAGATAGGCGACTGAGCATTGACCTGCCTGGGAGGAGAGAGTGGAGTCACGGTCTGGAGGAACAGTCCTTCGGGGAAACACAAAACAGTAGCTGGCAAGGGGATAA